AATGGGAGAGGTACATTAGCCCTCCAAGTTAATACTCCGTCTTTGTTAGAGTACTTATTTTTTTATTATTATTAATTTATTTTGGTACTGGGAATTGAACTCAGGAGCTCCTGTTTTCCAAGCAGGCACTGTGACACTAAGCTATATCCCTAGCCTAGAGTGCTTACTTTTGTAACTGGGCAGAGATGCTAGAGCTAATTGTCTTTCTCTGTCACTTTTGTTTACTTATTTATTTATTTATGTGTGTGTGTGTGTGTGTGGCCAGCTCAGCCCACCAGGGGGCAGGGCTGGCTGGCATGTGGTGCTGGGGGATTGAACCGTGGTCCCTGTGCTTTGCTTAGCTTAGCTTAGCTTAGCTTGTTTTAAGTAGGTGCTTTAGACCACTGAGCCATCTCACCAGCCCCTGTCACTTTTGTTTTGAGATAGACTTACTATGTAGCCCACACTGAACTTGTTTGTAATCCTCCTGCCTCAGCTTCCTAGTGCTGAGACACAGTGGGGTGGGTGGAATTTTCCTTTGAGTTTATGCAAGCGACTTCAGAGTACTAGTTCAAGTGAGACTCTTTATAACTAGTGACATTTTCTCATCTTTGTTCTGGAAACCAGATAGCCATAAAGGGGAAGACAGGATGTTGCAGAAGGAACTGGTTGTGTTGAGCTGCATAATCTTGGGCTGCACATTTAAATATAACCCCCCAGGTCCCCAGCACTAGTTATAGGATAGATGACCTATGTGTCCATCCCAGGGTTTGGTAATTTTTCTTGTAGGAACCCTTGGCTTCATTTGTCCCACCTTTGGTGACTCTTGGGTTGATAGAATGAGCAGTTTCACGTGTTTTTCAAGCTATTTCCTTCCTTCAAAGCCTGCCACATTTGCTTATTGAGCTGTGAGGAAGTATGCAGAAGGGGAAGTAGGATGGTAGTTAAATATTGGTGAAACCAGTGTCTTCCTGTCCCCTACTTGACAGCCTAATCTTTTGACTTTTTGCTGCAGTGAACTTTGAACCCTTACTGAGGAAGAGACAGTGGTAAGGGAAGGGCTGCTCCGTGGACCAATTCTTAGTCTCTTAGGGCTTTCTGAAAGGTGGGGTTTGCTGCTCCTTCTCCTTCTCCTGGACCTGGAAGCTCAGTGCTCTCTGGTCCTGTCCCATGTTAATAGGGCTGTTAATTCTGACTTTTTTAGATTCCTTTGTGCGATCATCGAAGTTGCTCTTGTTGCAAAACTGAAACACTGAAGTTCTGACATAAGTTATTTTCTGCCCTTGGCTGGACGTTGACTTTTTTTTTTCCTTTTCTTTTAGACCGGGTCTTGCTATGTAGTTCAGGCTGACCTGGAACTCACAGTGATCCCTCTGCCGAGTGCTGGGATCACAGGTGTGTGCCACTGGTGACAAGATAAAATTTAATGTAGTCTTAATTCTTGTTTTTTCGTGGTGGGGATAAATATATATATATATATATATATATATAACCTAAAATTTACTGTTGTAACCTTTTTCTATTCATTTTTTTTGGGGGATGGGATCTAGGTTGGGCTTGAACTCCAGGGCTCCAGTGATCTTTCTCCCTTAGCCTCCCAAATATGCCCCTGGGACTATATGCATGCACTCCTAAGTTGGTCTAACCATTGTAACGTCTGGGTGTGGGTGTGGGGGTGGGGGTGGGGGTGGTGGTAGTGGTGGTGGTACTGGGGATTGATCTAGTGTATCAAACTGAGCTACATAACTGAAGTACATCCCTAGCACATTTATTTGGATATGGAATCTCATGAAGTTGTCCAAGCTGGGCTAGAACTTGAGATCCCCTTGCTCTGGCCTTCCAGAGTACTGGAATTACAGGTGTACACCACCATAGCTGGCTTTGTAACTATTCTTAAGTGTACAGTTCACTGTACCCTCCACCCCCATGCCTCTCTCCTAACTTCCCTGGTATGTTGTTGAGAGTGAATGGCTTTGAATAGCAGTTTCTGGCCTTAATCCCATGTTCCTGGCCTCTGAGGTGGAAATACCTATGGTGTGGCTCTCTCCTGTTGTCCCCCACCCCCTTCCTGGAGCACCAGCGTGCAGGGGAGAGGCAAACAGCCCTTTGCTCCAGTGCTGCCTCCAAGGCCCCACCTTTGTTTACCCTGGGCATGGTGATTGCTCTGCTCCCTCACAACTTGCCACCCTTTGGTGAAACTTAAATTCCCTAAGGACACAGTGTCTAGCTCCCTGAGTAGATAGATTTTGTGAACACAGTCAATAGAGCTGCATTCCAAGCTCAAGGCTAACTTCTAGTATACTGTCTTGCTTTTGAATTCCATCTGTCTCTTTTATCTAAAAAGAGAAACCCCAGTGTGGCCAAGAGCCAGATTTAAGTTAATCCCCTTCTGTCCTTGGCCTTGTTCTGCCTCTGAGCACCAGCTCCCTGTCAGCGTCTCACGGTGAGAACTGTGGTGTACTACTTGGTACTCTGCGTGGAGGATGGTAACATTTAAACCCAACTCACAGCTGAGGCTGCTGTCGGCCATCTCATTGACCACATTGCTGCTGCATTTCACTGCCACTTCCTCACCCAAGATCTTCACCTGGGCAGTGGAGAATCCTATTATTACCTGAAGGAAAAGACAAGATGAGCAGGCTGAAGGGCCAAAACCACCTCTAGGTGAGCACACTAAAACCTGGGGTGATTGATTACAGGAGCCCCAGGGGCAGTCTGCAAAGGTAGCTTGTTGGATCTACTGTATTGGTGCCTCCTTGCTGAGCCACAAGGCGCAGACATCCTGGGTGGAGCTGCAGTTAGGTTGTCTTCCTTCTTCCTTTAACAGGATCAGATCTTGATTCTGCAGGCTTTTGTTTCTTTATAAAGATAACTAACTTTCAATGGGAGAAGGAAACAAAAACCAGCTATGTCCAAGGATGGACATCCCCTACCCCTTTCTCTGAAGCTTTTGTGGAGGGTCTCATCTTGGAACCTGCTTTTGGTTCAGGCTTCTTGTTGTGTTCATGCTCTTGCTCTCCTCCTCCCTTTTTAGCTTTGTGAAGAATTCTATTGTAAATGCTGGTTTGTGGGAGAAACTGCCGAGCCTGCTTGTTGTCATGGGAACTGCACCCTCCACCCCCATAGCCTGTTATCTTCTACTTCAGTTTGGGTGACTACTGAGCTGGATAGGGACTTATATTTCATGAGCCTCCTCCAAATTTAGTTCCATTTTTCATCATCTCATTTTACGCATCTGAAACAGGGTAAATCATTATACTGTACTGCCAGTGTTTTAGAGTTCTTGATAGCCTGCCTTGCTTTTGACTGGTCTTGTTGAATTTATGAGAAATCTGTGTTATTCTAGGGGACATCTGTTTTCCTAGAAGAGACAGAAGCAGAGAATACTTGTCTTTGTGAATGTTTTGATGTTTTGAATAGTTAGGGACACGGACTGTTTCTTAGTATTCCAGCTTATGTACACTTCTTGATTTTTCTTTTCCTGTAGCCTGGTGCTTAGATTATAGCTCCAGCTCCCTGCTCCCTTTCCCAGTTCCTTGAACCTTCTGTATATATGGAATTTTTTGTTCAGATACTGTTAGTTTTTTGTTCAGATACTTTTGGGTTGTAGCCCTCTCCATAAGGCTGATGGCCCAGATTTCTACAGCTGCCGCCACCCCTGCCTGCTAGGAGGAAATCAGGGTAATGGAATTCAGGCACAGTCTGGGCAGCAGAGGAGAGATCGTGTTTACCAAGTGCTCGGATAACATCTGAACTGGGTGGTGTGCAGGGCAGGTTAAATTCTTGCATGGTTAAAGTAGTCATAGGAAGAGGCTTTCCTACCACATGCCAGCTGCCTCCTTCATTGCTCCTTTCTAATTCCATAGCCACTCCTTGTGGGCTACTCAGACTGGAGCTTCTATCTCATTACAGGATGAAGGCCAGGGAGGTTGTCATAAGTTGTACTGGAGGATAAAGCTAAGAAAAAGACTTGAGGGGCTGGAGAGATGGCTCAGTGGTCTAAAGCACCTACTTGGAACAAGCTTGGCAAAGCACAGGGACCACGGTTCAATCCTCCAGCACCACATGCCAGCCAGCCGCGCCCCCTGGTGGGCTGAGCTGGCCACACACACACATACACACACACACACACACACAATAAATGTTAAAATAAAAAAAAAAGAAAAAGACTTGAGATTAGAGAGGAGGCAGTTCAAATATTTGGAGGGCTGGTGCTGGGAGTGGTGGGAATACTTTCCTTCTCTTCCTTTCTCAAAACCTCTTTTTTTTTTTTTTAAAGGTTTTCATTTTATTTTTTTGCGGTACGCCAGGGGATTGAATTCAGGACCCTGTGCTTGCCTGGCAAGCGCTTATTCTACTGAGCTATCTCCCCAGCCCCTCAAAACCTCTGTTATAATGTCATCAAAGCAATCTGAGGCAGAAGGAGCTCTTATTTCCTCAATACCCCAAGGGAGGAAGAGAACGTGCTGACAGGGTGGGGTATAGGTAACCCTGTGCTTCATTCTTTTGCTTTGCAATCTGGAAGTCTCTTCTGGAGGACATTTCCTTTGGCTACTTGTCTTCCTGATGTAGTAGGTAAGGTGATCCAAAGGTTAACACCTTGATGTAAACAGCAAATCGATAATTTACAAACAACTTCTTAAGAAACCTTGCTTATTTATGTTTCTACATACACATTTATAAGAAAGTTGCTGAATAGGAGACACAGCTCTCAGCAGAGTGAGCCCTTTTCCAGCTGTCTTCTGTGACCCCAGTGTGTTCAGGAATTTGAGCTGAGTCCAGAAGGGGATGGTACTGTCACTGGTTTGGACAAGAAACTGAGCTTTTTTTTTTTTTAGAAACTGAGCTTTGAAAGAACATAAGGGAGTTTGTTGCTCTGATCCTGGCGCATCTGAGTTAGGGCAGGTTCTGCCGTAGTAGACTGGTGTCTTCGTCTTCCCTGTCTGTGCTCAGTCCCATTCTAACTGTAATAGCTGATCCTTTTTACCATGCTTCTGCCTTCTTTTTCCATTCAAATGCAGGCTGAAGCAGAAGTAGCCTCCTTGAACCGTAGGATCCAGCTGGTTGAAGAGGAGCTGGACCGTGCACAGGAGCGCCTGGCCACTGCCCTGCAAAAGCTAGAGGAAGCTGAGAAAGCTGCTGATGAGAGTGAGAGGTCTGTAGGGGAGCTTGAGGGAGTGGGATGTCTTTATTTCTGGCTTTGGGGATTGAACCTGGGCCTTGTGAATGCTAGGGAAACCTAGCACTGAGCCACACCCCAGTTCCTTCTCACGATTTGAGGCACAGTCTTTCTGAGTTGCCCAGATTGACCTCAGATTTTCCATCCTCCTACCTCAGCCTTCCTAGTAGCTGGATTACAGGACTGGGCATGTGGATTTCAAAAGACGTTCAGGCCACTGTATCCTCTCACAATGGCCTGCCTCACCCTGCAGAGTATGCTTTTTTCTTTTAGTTGGCCTGAACTTACTCTGTGGAGCACTTTTCTTTTTTCTTGTCTTTAATAAGTATAAAACTTTGATACCTTAAAAAAAGTTCATAAATGAGGAAGTAGCTCATAGAGTACTTGCCTAGAATGTGCAAGGCTCTGACCAAAATTTTTCTTTCCTCCCTCCTCCCTTCCTATTTTGTTGTTTGTTGCTAGGGAATGAACCCAGGGCTTCAGACATACTGTGCAAGCAAACACTCTACCACTGGGTTGTACTCTTAGCCCTAGATCTGTTTTTTGAAATAATGACCATTATATTATAGGATTTTTTTCCCTTTCTGTTTGCATATTCTCCCCCCTTGGAGAAAGCGATTGAGTATAGTAACCTGAACTTCAAGACTTTGTCATTACTATTTCTTTGTAAATGGGTCAACTATTCCTTATAATGGGTCAACTGTCTGGCTTCTGCTTTGTGGAAGCACATAAACCCACTCCTGAGGTTAATCCTCCCTCTAAAACAGACCCTCAAAGACAAGACGAGAAGTATCAGCGAGTCTAGCAGTAGCAGGCACTCTTAGGAACGGGCTGGAAATTCAGATTCTCAGTTTCTGCTTCTGAGCCGCTGAGTTGCCACCACCACCAGAGTTGGAGCCCAGTGGTGCACCTCCTCTCAGCCCTGTCTGCTGCGCTGTCAGAACAAGGGGGCAAGGGAGGGCAGGATCTTGGACTCCACCCATGTTCAGTTAGAATAGTTACAGTAGGGTCCAGGCACTGATGTTTTAAAAAGTTCCAAGTAATTTTAATGTGTGGTTAGGGGTAAGGAACAGATCACAGCTCATCTTTATGAACTGGCAGTTAGTTCCTCATCACATGTGAGGCAAAGCAGAACAGAGATGCATAACAACTTGAACTTGGCTTTTCAGAATTAAAAGTCCCCTGCTAGAGCTGGGCATGGTGGCACACACCTGTGATTCCAGCCCTTGGGAGGTTGAAGCAGGAGGATCAACCATGAATTGAGTCTAGCCCCAGCTACATAGAGAGTTCAAGGCCAGTCTGAATTGCATAGTGAGATCCTGTCTCAATAAATGCCCTGCTAGAGATTTGTTAGCACAGGGCAGCTGTACAAATGAGTATGTGATAGCTACATATGTACAAGTAAAGAGTAGAGTCCAGGGGCCTGGCCTTAGCTCAGTTGTTTAAGTGGCTGCTTCCACAAAGCTGTCAGCCTCAGGATGCTGTGGTTAGATCCCCACAACTCTCCAGCCAGCCAAACCAGCCATGAGGGCACTCGGAGCAAAAAAAAAAAAAAAAAAAACCCTTATGGGCTGGTGAGATGGCTCAGTGGTCTAAAGCACCTACTTAGAACAAACTTAGCAAAGCACAGGGACCACGGTTCAATCCCCCAGCACCACATGCAAGCCAGCCCCGCCCCCTGGTAGGCTGAGCTGGCCACACACACACACACACACACACACACGCACACATAAATAAATAAAAGAAAAAAAATAAAAAAGAGTAGAGTCCAAATTGTGGAAAGAAAAAGTTTTCTGCATATAGTTATATAAGATACTTTTAGAAAGAATATTAAAAAATTATCTTTGGGGGCTGGGGAGATGCCTCAGTGGAATAAGCACTTCCCTAGCAAGTACAAGGGTCTAATTTCAATCCCCGGTTCCAAAAAAAAAAAAAAATCTTTGATGGGCAGGACTAGAAATGGGGAGGAGACTTAGTTTTAACGTATACTCTTAGACAGTACACCTAAACATCTAATGTCTTAATGAGCAGGGGTATGATTAGTAGACAAAGTTTTGAGAGACTTGGATTTCCGTGTGAGTAACAAGAGGAGGAAAGGGCTTTCAGAGATGCAATTTTGAGTCCCTTGGAATGAAACTGATGACAGATTCCTCAGCGAACATGTGCTGAGTTCATCCTGTTCCTGGCAGAGGTATGAAGGTCATTGAAAACCGGGCCCTAAAAGATGAAGAAAAGATGGAGCTCCAGGAAATCCAGCTGAAAGAAGCTAAACACATTGCCGAAGAGGCAGACAGGAAGTATGAAGAGGTGAGCCTCCTTGTGTGTGTCCCCATCGTTGGTGACACCATGCCTCTGCCATTATGGGAGTGGTGCCTTCATCTCTCTGAGGGGTACCTGACCTTTTCCTGTAGGTGGCTCGTAAGTTGGTGATTATTGAAGGAGATTTGGAACGCACAGAGGAACGAGCTGAGCTGGCAGAGTCGTGAGTATTTTGCTCTCCAAATCTTGTCAAATCTTTCTCTCCCTTTCCCTCCAGCCTGTTCACTAATACAAGTAAACTAGCATTCCTTCAACCTTGTTAAACAGGGCCTGGGGGTGGGAGTCGTCTATCTGTAACGCTTCTTTGGGGCTCTAAGGATGGCTTTGGGCTTCTTAACTAGTAACAACAAATGAAGTTTGCTGTTTCCTCAAGGAAGTTTACAAATTGAGGGAATGTAAGACTGAATAGGTGGTGAACAGGTTACTGGAAGGACCCTACTGGCACCTTTACTCCTGCAGACGTGGAAGCGCCTGTACTGACTTGTGATCTGGTCAGTTTTTACCATATTGCCAGTCTGCTGGGGAACTTCAGGGAAGAGCAGATCTTAACTGCTCCTTGACCTGGCCTTGTATAACAACGTGAGCGCTTGATGCATACTCATTTGTACTTCCCTTCCGTTCGCCTCCCCGACATGACATCCCATGACCGTGATGGTGTTTTCTTACCATTAAAAAAAAATATTTTTCCCATTATGCTGCTTGTTTCCTTGCTGTGTTCCTTTTTGACCTTTCTCCCTCCCCACAACCTGGCCTGTGCCATCCCCATGACTGTCACTAACAGCCGTTGCCGGGAGATGGATGAGCAGATCAGACTGATGGACCAGAACCTGAAGTGTCTGAGTGCTGCTGAAGAAAAGGTACTAACCCTAAGCCTGCAGGGAGGCTACATGTGTTGTGTGGTTTTGTTTGGTTTTGTCTGTTTTGCAGCTGCCTCCCCTCCACTGGTTGACTGTCGAGTGCTCTCTCATCTCCTCATGGAATGCTCCATTCTTTCCACTACTTGCTCTTTCATGTCTTTTTCCTAGTTGCTTCCCCGCCTCTCCTCAGAGTCTCTCCCTCTTCCCCTGGGTGGTTTGGGGCCTGTTTGGGTTGAGCACTCCTTCCCTCCTCCACTTCAGGTAGCAGTTAGTTAGGGCTTACTCTGGGGAGCAGTTTCTTTCAAGTGCTCTTTCTTTATTAGCACTCAGACATTTTAAGCCCAGAGCTTCTAGCTCGTGACATGTTCCCTGGTAGAGGGAGGAGGGTTGATGCTTGCTCAGGTTACCTAGGACCTTTTCTTCCCCAATGTGTCTTCCAACTCTCTACATACAGGTTCGATTCACCTCTGTGTGTCTCTCTCCCTTTTTTTATTCTCTTCCTCTTCCCTTTCCTCTCCTGCGGTATTTAAAATGTTCACAGTAAGTGTTCTGAGCTGGAGGAGGAGCTGAAGAATGTCACCAACAACCTCAAGTCTCTTGAGGCTCAGGCGGAGAAGGTAGGGGCTGGTTTGTGAAGGTGTCAGGCATTGGGCCTGGGCCCAGCCCTGCCCTTAGTGAATGACTAGAGACAGTTCTCTATAATCCAATGAGAATGCCCCCACCCCCACTGCCCATTCATATTCTGAGTTGAATGCTAATTCCTGTACAGTCTGATTACCTTTGTTAAAATAGCTTCATGGTCTTAAGTGCCTAGAGTCAGTCACACTCCTTGGGCCAAAAGTGTTGTGCTAAAAGGCAATTACCAGGGTCCCTAATAGACCATGTAGCAAACAGATGGGGCCAGCAAGTATATGTTTCTCTGAATCATAATGAGCAGTGAAGACCAGTGACTGCTCTGTACCATCCACAGGGGAATGTTTAAGTGCTGTGGATGCAGAGTGTCACTATCTTTGCTCCCTAAGCAAGAGAAAAGAAAAATGCCTCCTTAGGTTGTTAAGAATAACATCGGGGGCCTGGCCTTAGCTCAGTTGTTTAAGTGGCTGCTTCCACAAAGCTGTCAGCCTCAGGTTGCTGTAGTTCGATCCCCACAACACTTCAGCCAGCCAA